CTTTTTCTTGGCGGCGTTCGGCGTAGCACTCCGCATGCTTCGCCTTCTCTGTCCATCATGCATTTTTGATGAGACGGAGCTCTCGAGTCAGTCGTCGTCGAATTCTGCCAAACTTTCTCTTCTTCCCCCAAGTCACCGGGGTCTTCCATATGTGCAGCAAATGCTGCATTCTTTTCAGATACCAATGCGCCAATCGTCGCATGGCTCTCATCAAACTAATCGGGCCGCTTACAGTTTGCGCACTCGATGGTCTCCTCGGCAGCAGCTGTCACCTAGTCGCGAATGTGGTGCCACAGGTCTCCCACTGTGGCTATGGATTCCACATCACACAGGCGTGCAGCCGTCGCCTTCTCCAGCTCTACCATTTTCTCCACGGTATCTACTGAAGGAACGTAATATTTCCGCCGGTTCACTTTAGAGTGCAATACATAGATTTACGAAAATATATGTTCATTCATCTGATCTGAATTATGTCTGTAGTCTGTGTGTAGATAGCGCTTGAATTAGCTTTGAGCAGCGTTCCCCGCGGCTGCAACGTGGGTGCATACACCGCTTTCAAGGAGTCAAATAATTCCCTGTTTTTGCGGCGTTCGGCGTGGCATTGTATTTTTTTGACCTCCACCCACTTTGGATTGATTATATATGCATATATATGCATCGGTCTACAAATAGACAAGGAGCCATCAAAAACCGTGGAAATCGAACAAAGGTGCAGTTGTCATAAAGAGAAAACTGAACACAATGGCGAAATCCATGGTTTCGTCAGAGGCAAGATTCTGCACGGTTGCGCAAGCCGAAGTAGGGTGTTCACTTAGGGGACACCACCCCAAGCCTTTACCTAAATAGCCTACCAACAAGGCAACGGGACGAATTCAGGGAATCACGCCCATTGGCAGCCGGTGACTGAGTACTCCGTTCATACGCTTTTCGTTTGGTCGGTTGACAAACAGGGACTACATTCTCCCCATAATTAGATTTTCGCGTTGCTGAATAAAGTAGTCCACCGGAAAAAGGCAAGTCGCAGTGACTTTATTTAGTGGCGAGTCACCCGCCACGTCGCAGTGTTGTTAAACGCATACCTGTGGTTTTTTAGATGAAGAACGCTTGCCAGGCGAAAACCCAAGACGTTCTGCAACACTGCCGCCGAACTATTTTCTGGAATGGGATAAATCAGAGCCACCCAGCTGCCATCATGAGCAGGTTGTTCGGCAAGGTGCATATCCTACTACGGTCTCAAAACACATATGAATTGTACCAGATCTTCAAAGGCCGTATGTACCTGACCTCAAGCTAATCCCAACTGGTCTCTGCAATCGCACTCCCGAGCTCGGTCTGCTCCCCACTACCTTGTGGGTCAGACTATTGAGCCGAAGGCTCCGAGCGAAGTACCTCAAGCAAACCTCCAAGCCACTACTACCACCACACGTGCGATGGTCCACCAATGCCATTATATGCCTCCGCTCAAAGCGCTCAACATCGGGTGATGGAATGTGCGCACACTACTGGACCGGATCTCGAATGTACGCCCTGAGCGACTCACTGAACTGGTCGCGATGGAATTGGCGTGGTACAACATCGATATTGCGGACCTCAGCTAGACCGGGCTCGCTGAGCAAGGTAAGTTGCATGAAGCTTGTGCCGACTATACGATCTACTGGTTGGGAAAAGCCACTTCAGCACCACGTGAACCTGGGGTCGGATTGGCAATATCCGATCGCCTCCACGGCCAGCTGGTAGATGAACCAACTGGTATCACCGCGCGACTGATGACTGTTCGCCTACGACTCGGAAGTGGTAAGTTTGCCACTTTTAACCATATGTTATCTTGATCATATGTGTGATCAATCCTACACTCAGCTATGGTCCGTGATACGGTCTGTGCCGAGGCGCGACCGACTATTTCTGCTGGGTGATTCCAACGCGCGCGTTGGGTGTGATGCATCGGTGTGGACAAATGTCATGGGTCCGCATGGCATTGGTTCAGCGAATGCGAACGGTGACAGGTTGCTCCCACTGTGTGCCACTCATGGCCTGACGATCACGAACACTCGGTGTACACTGAGTGAGATTGGTGTCGCAACTGGGACTCACGGAGTGGTCACGCTCACATGCTGGACTATGTCATCGTAGGTCAGCGTGACCTGCGTGAACTGCGCATGACACGCCTACTGCGTGGAGCTGAGTGCGGCACTGACCACAAGTTGCTGCGGCCCAAACTGTACATATACTTTTGTAAATCTATGTATTGCGCTCCCGCCATGAATCGGCGTAAATTTAACATTCCCTCCCTCGGTACTGTGGCGAAATGTATGGAGCTGGAGAAGGCGATGCCTGCACGCCTGTGTGATGTGGAATCCATAGCCACAGTGGGAGACCTGTGGCACCACATTCGCGACTAGGTGACGGCTGCTGCCGAGGAGACCATCGAGTGCGCAAACTGTAAGCGGCCCGATTAGTTTGATGAGAGCCATGCGACGATTGGCGCATTGGTATCTGAAAAGAATGCAGCATTTGCTGCACATATGGAAGACCCCGGTGACTTGGGGGAAGAAGAGAAAGTTTGGCAGAATTCGACGACGACTGACTCGAGAGCTCCGTCTCATCAAAAATGCATGATGGACAGAGAAGGCGAAGCATGCGGAGTGCTACGCCGAACGCCGCCAAGAAAAAGAATTCTTTGACTCCTTGAAGGCGGTGCATGGACCGAGGTTGGAGCCGATGAGAACGCTCCTCGATGGCAATTCAGGCGCTATTCGCACACAGACTGCAGACATAATGCAGAGCTGGCGATAACATTGAGTGCCTCTTGAACAACCGTTCAGAGATCGAGTAAATTGTGTTGCACGGGCTGCAGCAACAAGAGATGAAGACTTCTCTTTTCGACACACTGACACTGGATGACACGTAGAGAGCACTTACTCAGCTGCGAAACGGCAAATGTGTCGGTGCCGACGGGATCCCGCTTGAAGTATTGAAACATGCCGGACCCGCATTGACGAATGCGCTGCACCAGTTGGTGCAACGCGTGTAGATTGAGGAGGAGGTGCTGCGTGAGCTGAAGGATGCTCTTGTGCTACCACTGTACAAGAGCAAAGGAAGCAAGCAATGTGCCACGAATTATCGTGGCATCAACTTGCTGAGTTGTATGGACAAAGTGATTGCCCGATTCCTACGCAACCGCCTCGTTAGTCAGGTTGTGGAACCGAACGTGGCGGAAGAACAATGCGGATTCCGTTCGGGCTGCAGCACCATAGATAGAGTGTTCTCGGCTCGTCAGTTGGAGGAGAAATGCCGAGATTGACACCAACCATTGTACTCGCTGTTTGTTGACATCAACAAAACATTTGACACGGTGAACCGCGAAGCACTGTGGCTGATGTTGGGTAAGTTTGGCTGTCCGAGTAAGTTTGATTGAATGTCTTCTGCACACTGGTATGCGGGCGAGGGTGCAGCTGAGTGGACAAACCTCGGATGACTTTGCCGTTGTCTCTGGTGTGAAGCAAGACTGTGTCTTAGCTCCTGCTCTGTTTAACATTTACCTTCATGCAATAATGTCTTGTACTTCTGATACTGCGTGTGAATACGGTATCCATGTGGAACACCGTATTGATGGTGGGTTGTTGAACATCCGTCGTTTTGATGCGAGATCCATAGTCTGTGAGACAACTATCCGTATGTTGCTGTTTGCTGAGGACTGTGCGTTGTTTGCACACAGCGCGGATGAGTTGCAGCACATGACTAGTTCTCTGGTTTCGACAACGGCCGAATTCGGGCTCACCATCAACACAAGCAAGACTGCTTCTCTTTTCCAGCCTTCACCCGGAATGGAGTCCGTTGGTCTGCCCCAAATCCAGGTTGCCGACGAAGGGTTGGAAACCTCTCCGAGATTTTACTACCTTGGGAGCGTTGTAACAACCGACCTGCAGATGAGGAGCGAGCTGCGCAGCCGCGTATCGAAGGCGGCTGCAGCATTTGGCAAGCTTCATCGTGTCACGATGAAGCTGCTGGTATACATGTCTACGGTGATATCCGTTCTTTTATACGGGAACGAAACATGGACGCTTTATCAGAAGGATGTCCGTTATCTGGAGCGCTTCGAGCAACAGTGTCTGCGCCGTAATATACGCATCGGCTGGAGTGACCGATTTGCAGACACGGTGGTGCTCCGCGCAGCGGCATGTATTCAGTGAAGTGTACAATTCTTCTGTGGCACTTGAGGTGGCTTGGGCATATTCGCCGTATGGATTCGACGCGGATACCGAAGCAGTTGCTTTATGGCCAACTGCGCACAGGGAAACGGCACGTGGGAAAACCGAAGTTACCTTACTAGAACATGATTGAGATGAGTTCATCACGAACTAATGTGGATTTCAGGTTTTGGGAATCGAAGCTTTTTGATCGATGTGAATGACGCGATCTTATCTCTAAGCCATATAAGAGTTCGGGAGTTGTTCTTATGGATAGGTCTGATCTTGTCCATACGATGGAACTAATTCTTAGTGACGAATATAAGGTTGAAAAGCTAACAGTAGAGAAGGATAATACAGAAGAGTTGGAAAACCAATTTCCCGTTTTGCTCCGACGGATTATGCAAGCGAATATTATCACAAAATGCGAATTCCGAAGGCTGAGACCTTCAAGCGGTCACGTACTTCGGTTTTGCGATCTTAAATTCCCAATGAAAGCGTTCCAATGCTTCCTATATTGGGCATGGTTAGTGCTCCGCAACATTTGATAGCTCAGTGAGTGTTTGAGATTTAGAACCGCTGAGTAAAACCATCTCCTCTTACTGCGTTCATTGAGGAGATAAAGGAAGTGAAACTTAGTTATAACTTCCATCGACACTGCTTGAAAACGGTTATCCGCACAACTGAACTTACAACCAACTGTCCGGCAAAGACGTTTATTACATACTTGGTCGAAACCAATCGAGTCTCACCTGCCGTGTACTTGGCTGAAAGTTCCAAGCTAACATATAAACACAAGCGCTGGAAATTGATCGCTTTTTACATTTTTTGTCTGGCTGACATACATGCTCTCTCTACCATCTTCCCCGGCTAAAGATAAAATGTTACACGTAAGATCTTTGCTTGGAATGACACCGAGTCACTGAACTGGGGGCGTGTACTTGTGGAATGTCTTCATTCAAGTTCCACTTCTGTGCTCACACCAACGCGTTGCTCTGTTTGTGGTTCCGTCGGCTTAAGCAAAGCAAATGAATCTAAATGTATAGGGGAATCTCTGTAGTGTCATCTTGCTGAACTTCTTCGGATGTATAACGATGTTTGATGTGATTCACATGTCGTGTAATCAATCGGTTTTAACATTCCACTTCATACAGGATATTTCCTTTTCTTGCTTTGCAATTCCGGGAATCCAAACTCACTGGGTCACCGGGGTGAAAATATCGTTTGCAAGTACCATGCTTAGGATTGAAATGATCTGCCATTTTCTGGTCATGCCCATTAGTCTTCTTTGCTGGAAGCATGGCATATAACGGTATGCGTAAACGTCGACCAATAAAAAGTTCCGACGTTGATTGTTGATTTGGGAGAACATCCAACTTTACAGCAATATCTTCCTCTCCTTTAAGTTAAAACAGCGCGTTTGAATGTATCAACAAACCTCTAAGCCTATCCATTCGACTGGGGATGATAAATAGGACTACGGATATGTACGCCCATGGATTGACGAAATCGGTTGAACTCGTTCCATGTGAATTGTGGACCATTGTCATTGACTAGTGTTTCTGGAGAATTAAACTGTGCGAAATGATGCCGAAATACTGCAACCGTTGAAAAGCTGTCGTTGATTGAGTTACGCAAACTATTTCTGGCCATTTTGAATATGAATCAACAATAATCAGAGAATATTGATTCTTCAGTGGGCCTGCATAATCCACATGAATCCGCATACCGGGGACAGTTGATTTTGGCTAAGAATGGAGGTCAAATTTGATGTGAGCCTGTGCACATTTGGAACAACTACGAACAACTCCTTCAATATCCTTACCAATATTTGCCCAATTAGCATAACGTCTGGCAAATGATTTCATTCATGTAATTCTCTGGTGTCCGGCATGAAGCATTTGAATCACTTATACTCCGAAATTTTTAGGGATCACAATGCGATCTGCCAGCATTAAACAGTCGTTCACTATTATTAGGGCATCGTTACGCACAAAATATGGTCTAATTTCAGTATCTGATAGAATTCTTGGCCAACCGTTGCGAAGATAAAAGATGACTCGTTGTAAACAGCTATCTGGTCGCATAGATTCACAAATGTCATTGTACGTAACTGGTAAGTTTTATATGGATTCCTCAAAGATGCATTTTATGTCAGCATCAACTTCAGCTGATGAAATGACCGTGTCTTCATGTGGTTGCGAATTTGTTCTGTTGGCAATCAGCCGCGATACGGAGTCAACATGGCCAAAGCATTCCGAACGGATGTGTTTAGTGGTAACATCGTAGCCGAGAACTATTTTTGCCCAACGTGGCAAGCGATTTGCGATGTGAACAGGAATTCCTTTCTTGGTACTAAACATAGTCAGCAAGGGCATGTGATCAGTGAATAACGTGACTTTCCGACCATACGTCTTATGAAACTTTTTTGACTGCAAACAATTGCCATACCTTCTTTTTCTTTTTGGCTGTAATTTCATACAGCTGTTGTTCATCATCACCAACTGCAGTACATCAGCCATTTGAACTGATGCTTCGCTGCCATACAACCATGAGGACCTATGAAATAAAGAAAAAGCAGAGGGAGAGAAAAGGGACTTACCTGAAGACCTTAATGCCCTAAGCAAACATTCAGGGTCAAGGCGCCTAGCACTTGTGTAGACTACATACCGTCACAAACAGCTGGCCAACGTGCAAAGATAAGGCGGCATCGGCGAGACAGCTTCCTTTCGGCTTTCACTGCCACGCGTCATAATCTGCCATTACCCCGCAGATAACTCAGCACCAAACACACTTTAAACAGGCAATCCGATTAGGAGACGGCAACAGACGCACCACTGGTGTCTACTGCGAGCCATATCCTGTAAAGTCTCGAGCCAAGCACAAGGCGAGTCACATGGACTCCAGCCCGGAAGGCGAGACGGACCGACGGCACCCAGTTTGGTCGTCAGTGACTTCATTTCCCGCTGCCAAGTCAACTTCTGTCCACCTCGAGCCTAGCACCACCCCACTCCTGGCAGACTAAACAAGGCCCTCCTAGGTAAGCGGTGACCAGGCATATGTAGCAGGTGTCCGAGCCAACGCAACTTATTCAGTGTTATCTGTTGTTATAGGGAGGTAGCATAATTATCACTACCTGGTACTCGCCTACGGACATTATCGTTACGGACACGCTGATGCCATCCGACCCCAGCAATGCTTCGCAGACAACAATAACCAAAGACTTGAAGGCGCCTCAGATCTTCAGACCGAAGGGGCCAAGTCTCGCTACCATACAGCAGAACGGCCCTCACTGTGGCCTTGTATACACGGACTTTCAGACGAAGGGAAATTCCTTTCTGTCGCCGAAAATGCTGCAGGTTCAAGAAGGAAGCTTTGGCTTTTGCGATGCGTGAGCTCACGTCAGTTTCTACGCGCCCATCAATGCTGGTGCAGCTGCCAAGATATGTGAATTGATCAACCACCTCGAGCCCCTCGTTAGCAAGATGCAAGGGGTCATCAAGTATCTGGTGGTCCTGCAGCAACACTGTACACTTTGAAGGTGCGCAGCGCATACCAACTAATGGGACCACTCTGGATAGGCTATTCAGGGTTGATTGTGCCGCCTCAACGTTGTCGAAAAACAAGACGATATCGTCCGCATAATCAGGATCAACTAATCTTTCACCAGGCAGCACTTCAACGCCTACATCGTGAGATTCCGCAAGGACACACTCCATGATAGAATCCACGACGAAATTGAACAGAAATGGGGAAATCGGACAACCCTGACGAACGCCACTTGGGGTCGGAAAGCTATCCGATAGGGCACCATAGATCCTGACGCGGCCTTTAGTGTTCGAGTGCAGAGCACGAAGGATGTTCATATACTTCGTGGGAACGCCTTTCCGCGCAAGTAATTCGAACAGAATCGATCGATCGACTGAATCGAACGCACTCTTGAAATTGAGGAACACAGCTATTGTCGGTCGGCGGTATGCGTGGCGCTGCTCTAGCACCTGCCGCAAAGTAAATATATGGTATATACAGCCACATCCTGGGCGGAAACCGGCCTGTTCTTCCCTAATCCGAGATTCCCATTCCGCAGTGAGGCGAGAATCGAGGCCAGTGCTTTTGTCACAACTTGTGTTAGGTTAATACCCTTGTGCTTAGAACGGTCTGTGCGACTGCCCTTCTTGTATATTGCTACTATAATCAATTCGCTCCAATTAGCCGGGACACCCTTCCAGATACGTTCGAATAGGGAGGTCAGTGCTTTGCAGAGGACCTCACCTCCATCCTTAAATAGTGGGAGGGAATCCGGGCCAGCGGCACGAAAACGATTGAGGGCTGTGATCACGTTTCGGACTTCGTTCTCCGACGGAGGCTGTAAACTAACCGTCCATGGCTCGTCCTGCATCACCTGAGTAGGAAGAGGTCCGGAAGCTGGAGGTCAGCTGAACTGATCTTGAAAGTCTTCTGTCCAACGAGCCATACGACGCTCCTTATTGTGTACCAGCGCACCCGCGCTACCTCTGATTGTCTCACTGACGCCTGGCTTTCTGAGACTAGTGGTGCGGATTAGCTGGAAGAGCTTGCGGTAATTGCCTACTGCTCCTGCGTCCTCCATTTCTTGAGGTTGACTGGTCCACCAGGCTTCCTTGTCAGCACGTAGGCTCCGCTTTAGTTCGCGTCTAATAGCCTGTCTGGTCACATTGTGTTCAGAGCCAGTCAGATTTACCGACCGCTCGGATATCCAGTGACTTGTGCAACGACGATGGATAGTGCCACAAGCAGATGCTCTTGCGTCGTGCATGGCACTGAATCTTAGTGTCATTATAACAAGACAGCGAAACTTCGGTACCCAGTGCGTCTTGATAGGCTTGCCTGACAGATAGACTTGCCTGACCTGCGTGAAACATGACTGACCGATTTTTGCCTGTTATCCGGAAACTAGTGCAGGTGTGCTGCTCCATTCCCGTGCTCTGAAGAATCGGCCGCAACTATGATGGGTAGTTTCGGGTTATAGTGCGTAAGTGCAGTCTCCGAAGTTAAACTGCTTTTTCTTTCATCAAATGCCGACCACACCCATTTTGAATTACTCTTCAGATGTTTATTTAGTGACATCCGTAGCTAGTTCATAATGGAGACAAAGTTATTATAATAGTTTACTAGTCCCAAAAGCGAATGGTCTGTTTTCCTGTCCTTTGGAACTTGTAGTTGCTAAATTGCCATAATTTTTGATGGATCAGGACGACGACCACTGGCATCGATGATTGAACTAAGGTACGAAATTTGGGACACGAAGAACGCACATTTGCCGATTCGCAGAGTAAATCCGAAACTCTTGTTCCTGTCAAACACTTCAATCAAGTGTGTATGATGTAGCTCAACTGAAGCGTTTACGATTATTATGTCATCCATGTAAGCTATTGCAAAAGGCAACCCATTTAGCGTTGTCTCCATTACCTGTTACAAAATTGCCGGAGCAAACTTAATTGCAAACGGCAGTCTGTTGTATGGACCCTTATTGTAGGGGCGCGGATCTCAGTT